ATCGGCAACCCGGAGCAGGTCCCTGGGGGGGGCCACCGCCTCCGGGGCCCGGGCGGCGCAGTCCGCCTTCAACATCCCCCACAGCAGCGGCCCCTACGGCTCGCAGGACTCGGTCAGCAGCACCCCGGAGGAGGGCGGCCGGGAGCGGCCCGCGGGGGGCGGCRGCGGCGGCAGCTCCTCCGGCGGGCCCCGGCTAGTGATCGGCTCGCTGCCCGCGCACCTCTCGCCGCACCTGTTCGGAGGTAAGGGGCATTGGCGGGGCGGGAGGGTTTCGCTGCYTCTCCCGGCGCTGCGGGGCCGGGGTTGCGGGCGGTGGGACGGGGTGTGTGAGGGGGTTTTTCCCTTCCTCCGAGGTGGGACGGGTAATGAATCATCACTCCGGGATGAGCGGCGGCTCCTCCAGGCTGGCGTCCGGGTTTGGAGACTGGGCTCTCGGGCCGGCATCTCCTATTGTCTGTAGGGAGAACCGTGAAAGGGGAGGTTAAAAATGAAACGAGCCCGGCGGCGGGGAGGAAGCGGAGCCTCTCCGGCTGGCGACTTTAGACTCTAATAGCTGTAATCAGTGCCTGTGTAAATACTCTTGCCTACTACTTACATAATTAGAATTTAATTGGATCATGTGTCTCCGCCGTTTATTCTAAAATCGGACCAAGCCCCTCTTTAGGCACTGATTAATGTATGGCTGATGCTTGTTCCTCTTTCTGAGTTCTCKGTACAGAGAGTCGGTACACAAAAACAGAAGTTAAAGTAAGTTTCTTTGTTTATTCCCGCTCCAAGAGATGAGTAGAATCGGATGGCTGTCCGTGCCGCTGTAGTACAGGCTTGCAGCACTGGTACGCTGTAGCCTTGAGGATGGGCACATGTGCTCTTGAGGCAGGAGGAACACTCGGCTAAAYTCTAAAATAACCAGGAAGCTGAGGCCCTTTGAGAAGCACATTGAACGTGGAGCGAATTGTAGGTTTTTTTGTCTCTCTTGCGATGCCGAGGTAAATTGGGCTGTATAGGACGAGCATTTTACTGCCTGTGTTTTTTACCTAAAAGTTAAAAATCATCTTGTTAGTTGCCAGATGCTTTAGAAGTTGCTGACTTCTTTAAGTACTGATTATTCTGAGGGTTGTTCATTTAGGTCAAACAATGCAGAACTTTATTTTTTAATGGATATATTCAATTGATAATTTTAATATATATAATATACATGTATATCCACACACATATATTTATGTGTATGTGTATTTTGGCCTTTGTTAATACCCTAAAGCTTTTTTTTTTTTTTTTTTTTTTTTGGGGGGGGAGGACGAAGAGGCTAATGTAAAACTTATACATTTTGTATTCTTGTTAATCCATTTGTGAATACTGTTGGTAGCAAGTTGGCTTTCTTGTTTTCTGTAATTCACCCAGTTTTTAGCCAAGGCAGAGCTGTCTGCAGCCTGACCCTCGCAGGGTACACGAGGTTTCTGTCACATGGCCTGCTGCCTCTGGTGTGTTGACCTCAAGACAGCATAGCTGTTACTTCCTATATCTGAAACTGCCTCATCCCAGTGGTTGAACATTTAACAGGAAGCTGTCAAACCCWATTATAATAAAAGAATATTTTCCCCTAAGAAAGAAAACATGACTATTGTCATAGTACCAAGCTGCTCAACAGGAGTGCTTTGTTGCAAGGATGTTCATCACACCATCGAAGTAGCTTGAGGGGGAAGAGGGTGCATGTGTTGCTTTTAGTGATGAAAGGATGTGCTATCGTGGAGTGTTATTGTACAGGCCGTGCTAAGCGCAAGGGAATCACTAGAATATGCAGGCAACTGTTGCTCGAAGGTGAAACTTTTTTCCCCTCTTTGCTTAAACATTGTATTCCAACTTGCCTTGGTGTCCGGAGGGAGTGGATTAAATGTAAATTAAGTGATGAGGATCAATAACCTAGGAAGCCGTATTCAGACGCAGGAAGGTCTCTTCAGAATAACTCTGAATTTGATCTTACTTTTCTRTGGCATGTAATAATTTTTTAATTGCTGTGCTACACTGTATTTTGTCCTCRGAATGATGCAAAGCTTATTGCTTTYACCAGTGCAGGAGAAGTGCCAGGAGGGGTACACTCTCTTCATCTACTCACTAATAAATAAGGACTGCTATATGTTAGGAGTATAAGTAACAAGTTTCAAGATACACTAAGTAAGATTTTTAATGAAGAAGCAAATAAATTCATGACTGTCTTGTGACCACATAAGGACAGTGTATCTTAGCAGGATGAATAACTGCTTAATCATAATACTGCAACACCTGTGAAGAAGGCCTCACTTGAAGTATTATTCTTTCTTTCAATTTAAATATTCTGCGATGTTTGTGGTACATTACTCCACATCCCATTCAATGTTGCCATCCTTCTCTAATTGCATGCTTCATGTTTTCTTGATTCATTGTAATAACTACATGCTTGGGGAAAGTAGCCCAACTGCAGATCACACATTAATAGCATCAGTATTCTGAAAAATAACTTGAAGCATTGTTTTTGTCCTGATGGTAACTAGCTCAAGCTTGTTTAGGTGTGGTGTCTGGCATTTATCTTGTGTATCTTAAGCATGCTTGAAGTCCCCTCCCTTGTTTTGTAACTTGCAAATTAGCTGAATTGTTKATTTTTATTCTGAAAACTGCCAAAATTAATTGTGAGGATTAGCATAGCAATTCTGCAAAAATTAAAATAAAAAGGAAGAATAAGAGTAACTTCTGTAAGTTAACTGAATCTCCAGCTATTTATGTTTTTAGGCATACTTGCTTGGCTTCRTCAGTCAGTGACACGTGGGTGTTGCATTTGTTAAATTACTGTAATTAATTTGCCATTAGTGAATTATATTCTATTGTCACTTTTACTGAGCTGTTTTGCGAGCTGAAGTAATGTATAAACATTAACCCTCTGATGTAACATGCTTAAATCTATACTAAGCTTGTTAATATACCATTTGAATGAGAATATAAAAACCCATGTTAATGTATTGGCAAGTATGTTCAGTTATTGCCTATGTTCCTTTAGTAGGGACTGTAGTACTAACAGCCTCTCCTGGCTGTGAAGGTCTCGTGTTCCTATSTGACCTCAGGCTAAGGCACTTTTATGAGAAACATATAGTAGAGTAAGCACTGCTATGTAGCTTTGTCTCATCTCAGGGGGAGTTCAGTTCACTCCATAATCAGGGCCTTGGTCTCACAAAAAAAAGAATATTTGCGTGTTTAACTTTGTGCTGTGAGCATGCCTGAAGTAGKCTTAGGGCATTAAGTAGAGTGAGACCCAAATTCCATAAGATCTTACGGCACTCCCAGATGCAGAGACCAAACCTGTGCGTGATATTCAAGAGCTTTCTTGCAACACTGCCAAGTTCCAGCTTCCTTTGAGGTGATAATGCTTATCAGGAATTTTGACCAGTAGTTTCCCCACTCTGTTCCTCAGTGAATGGGACTTCCCCTCTCTTCCAGCCCCAAAGTAAATATTCTTACTTTCTGTTATGAGTAGAAGAGTTGGCTCTGAGGACCACGAGGCCAGATTCACATTAGTTTTTCCACTGTGTTTGTRATATTACATATTCATCAGCACTGCAGCAAAGCTGCTACTGTAGTTACAATATAGCTTGTTTTTGTCAGTGGTGTAATTGGTTCAGCTAAAAATGGGCTTTTGGGTATGCTCTTTGCTTTGRGTAAATGTTGATGTGTTACTTCCATCACTTAAAGTGTTGACAACTCCTCAGAACCCTCTTCRTGTTTATGTTCCTGTTTCTGGGTGGTCATAACTGGGAGAATTCTTGGCRAAAACACCTAGTGTAAGTATCCTTCTGGTGTTCAAGTTTGGGAATGTTGCTAAAAGGCAACAATAATCCCTTTAAACTCTTATTAGGTTTTTTTTTGTCATTAAGAGTCTCATAGGGAATAATATATAAAAATTCAACTGAAGATAGCAGAAACTCAAACATATTGAGTTCTTAAAATCTTCACATCAGTTTTTTGTTTCACATGATTGAGCAGAGACTGTACAAGTATTGTGCAGAATCTCAATTTGTGCTGTATATGGTCATATACAATTTTATATGATGTATTTATAGACAGATTTTAAGGTATATAATGTTGTCAGATACAGCTGTTGACAGCTGTCAGGCCTATGTCAAGATTTGGAGTAATGATTTGGAGATTAAGTGGCATCTGTTCAACTTTATTAGGAGAAGGAAGTTTGTTACGTTCTTCTTAAGCCAAATAATGATCAGACTTTTTTTATGAATTATGTTACAGTGCAGGATTTATTACCAGCTACTGAATGTACAGAACATAGTATGGTAGAACCTTATAGGTATATTATGGTAGCATCTGTTTGTAATAAGCTGGTAGAAGTAATGAATGAATTCTTCATTCTATAAAAGAAAGTTTATGAAAGCCTCAGGTTATAACCTGAATTCCTAGTTGTATTGTGGGAAGCAGATAACRGTAGAAGAATGATGTGAATTCTCAGAAAAGTTTTTTAGATGTCTCTCAAACTGCCTAGTCCACATCTTGTTTTGTTTCCCATCAGATCTATTTAGCTGTATGGATATCTTTTTGAGGTTCTCTTCATCTTTCTCACACCTATTKTTTTGGGAATATAATTGCCTTTGGGTCATGTCCTTGCCCTTCTCTTCCAGTATGACACAAGTACTACTGCTCTGAGAAATCATGAAACTCTGAAACACGTCAGACTTAATGCTGCTCCCATTTTGCCAGCCAGAGGGGTAGCTCTGAGGTCTTTGCCCCCTGAATTGAGAGAAGTGTTGAGAARTGTGCCTTGCAGCAGGACTGTTGGGATATCCTGTCTGTGTGAATCATGTCAGAAGCAGTGAAACTTGCTATTGTAGTTTCAGCCTGTATGCCTTTGTACTTCTAGACATACTATCTTTTCGTGGCAGTTGCATTTTTTTTTTTTTATGTTTGATAAAGGCTTGATACAATCTTTGAATCTTTGATACAATATGTATTTCTCTAAATTACTTCCTAACCATTCAGAATRAGGGAAGAGTGTAAAGATTTAGAATACTAAAAGCTATAGCTTCCCCATAAAAAATTCTGCCTTTTTGGTGGTTGATATTTGCCCTTGTGAACACAAAAAACCCAMTTCCACATGCCTTTTCAGATAGTTTTGCTGTTGCAGTTGATAGGTCTTAGAAAGTGCAGAACAGTGAAAGTGAAGGAACTGTCTCTRCTTGGATGTTTTGACTTGTTTCTATTCACTTGTTTG